AAAATTACAGACTAAAAAAACTAAGAATTGAAAAGGGTAAGTAAATGTAAATCATGCGAGTCTTGATCAAATGTTGACTGTCCTCTCTGTTTTTTCCTTCTTCTTATTTATAGTGTTTGATAGCAGAAGCCTTTTCTTTAGCACTTAACACATTCTACTGAAGATTCAGGAATCTCGTGAAACTTATGGCATGGTATCTTTATCAGCCCGTTTCACCGAACTACTTGGGCGTAGATTTCGGCATCACTTAAGATCATGTCTTCGTGCCAACGTCTGATATTTGAAGCTGACAGGATTTCGGCATGTTTATGTATTGTGGACTTCATTGAGCTTCGGAGCCGACCTCTTTTGTTTATATTGGGCCTAACGTTTCAATTATTCTACCCAACTAGCCTTATGACCTATTTGAGTGACATTTCATATTTAGCCGAAACAAAATCTAATAGAATTTGTTGGAGAATAAATTTTCCTTTTCAATTAACTTTGAGGTAGAATTTAACAAAAAAAATTATTATTTAATATAATTTCAAAGTTTCCCCTATCATCAATTGAAGAAAGAACACAAATGTAAGTGTTGCATTTTTAAATCCATTATGGGAGCGATATATTTTAAAATAAAAAGTTATTATTTATATCTTTAATACATTTGAGTAAAACAAATTTTAATATAGAATAAATTTTATTTAAATTTAAATCTACATAAAGTAACATATCACAAGTATACAAAAATAAATTATTTTAAAATTTTTATTTTTTTTAATTTCATGCTTACCCTTCAAATGATCAAAGATCCTTACAGATATTCAAAAAATATATCAAATAAATTTTTACAACAATTATAAACAAGTAATACAAATATTTCCGTGCGTGGGTCAAAATCTAGTTATATTTTATCATACATATTAAAGAAACTAAAAATAATTTATAATTTAAATTTTGCCGACTCTTTCACATTTGTACATGTTTCTTGACAATAAGAAAGGAAATTTTGAAATTAGTTAAAAAAAAATTTATCAGTTCTGCCCTCTAATTAATTTTAAAAAATTGTCACTAGTTGTGCTCTTTAAATTAAAATCTAAACAATAATTTCTATTTTGTAATATTTAACCCTTATGTGTATTAAAAAAATGTAAAATTTTTTTCTATTTATGACCTCCTGCAGGCAAATAAAATATAATTACCTCAATCATATTAAAGAAAAATAGGTTTGATACCTCATGCATGTTAAAATTATGAACACTAACTTATTTTATTATCATATAAATTATTTTACAATTTGTTACCCTTGTTATTTTTTATAATATAATTTGTTGTCTTGCTTTGTACTTTTATTGTACCGCTTATTTTTTTAAATATATTCAAAATACAAGCAACAAAGGATAGGTTTAGCCTTACTCAATTTTTATTGGAAAAATTACACCTAAGGCCCATTACATTCTAAAATTATTCAACATGCTCAAATGTCTTTTTTGCAAATATATTTTAGAGAGAAAAAACATAATTACCCTTAATGAGGAGGAAAGAACTTTATATTTACTACCAATGAACAAGTAACATGTGAATATAAAATTGTAAACATCTAATTATAAAAGTCTGAACTTACTATCATGAACCTTAGTTTTAAATATAAAAAATCATAATTTGGAATTTAGACTTATAAATAAATGAACTTATATTTATAAATATTCAAACTTTAAATTATAAATTTATAAATTTGGCTAACACAAACTTGTCAATTTCAAACAAAAATTTTATCATTAATGAGTAATTACTTGTTAATATTTAAGTAAAAATCTGAACTAAACCCTTGTCTTTTCTTGCTAACAGCAATTATGTTTTTTTTTTTTAAACATACTTGCAAAAAATCTCTTGGGCTTATAGAATAATTTTAGAATGTATTTGGTTTGAAGTACAATTTTTTCTCCATTCAAAGCCCTAGATGTAATGTTCCCTAATTTTCCCAACGAACAGTAGCAAGTGACAAGCTTCCAAATTTTAAAAGAAAAGGTACAGTGAAAGATGAATCAACGGGGCTAATGTTGGTGCTGCTCCTCACCATAGAGGCTTTAAAGAACAATAATATTTTAACGAATGGATGGGAGGTTCAGCTTTCATGGCACGCATCTCCTTCCAGAAACCTCTCTGTCAAAGTTTGTATTCCCAGGGCTGGGTTCGCCGGGGAAAAAAAAAAGCATGATTTCTAAGAGGCTGTTTGGTTTTTATTTTTATTTTTTTATTTTTAAAATTTATTTTAAAATATATTTTTCAAAATTGTTTTTAAAACAAAACAAAATAAAAATTTGTTTGATTATGTCAGTTAAAAATAATTTTAAAATTAAAAAATGAACTGATAGTGATTATTATAGGCAATTAATAGTGGTGATTAATAACAGAAATTGCTCAAGATAACTATAATTTGTAATAATCAAATGTAGTATATTTTAAAAATAAAAAAAATGAAATGAAAACAAGTTAAAATTGTTTCTATTTTTTTTTGTTTTTTTAAAAAAATGAAAACAGTTTTGGAAATAATTAAATGAAAAGCACTTATCTAGATAATTTTTTTTTGTTTTCAAAAACAATAAACAATTTTTAAAAACAACAAGCCCTAATTATGGTGAGTTTTTATTTTTTTTTATTTTTTGGAATGAGAAAGGCCACAATAAGAACCATATAAAGATAAAAATCAAATCATGTCAGTGCTAAAAAAATTATCATACCCAGAGATGATTCATCTAAAATCTTAATATCTAGACTATCGCTAAGGGCTTGACAAGCAAGCCAATCTACACAATTATTGGTTTCTTTACAAATATGATCAAAAGTGATCATCCAGTCTCTCATAGTAAGGTTTTTCATTTTCATGATTGCTTCAAAGAGAGGGTGGTTATCATTTAAATCACAATGAATGAGAGAAAGAACTTTAAGAAAGTCAGTGTCGATATTGACTGTTGACAACTTGTCAATCCAACACAAGTTGAGCCCTTCTAAGATACCCAAAAGTTCAACAACAGTGCTAGAGTAATAGCTAAAATATTTAGAAAAACCTTTTATCTAGTACCTTTTATCATAATGGATGATGCCACCACAAGCAGCAACCCCATTTATGCTAACGGATCCATCAGTGTCAAGTTTAACCTAACCACGTTTAAGGGGGTGCCACCTAGCTTGAGTTCTATCCTTATCCATTAATTTATTCTAAATGCCCAATGAGCCCAAGCATTGACAAAACAAATTAGAAAAAACATAATTTTTGATTCTTACATTCTACTCGTATTTTGCTATAGGTTCTTGTACTTTTTTTTTAGTATTCTAAGTCCCTACACTTTTATTTTTTGGTGTTTTAGGCTCCTACAATTTGTTCATTTAAGGACCTAAAATACCGAAAAATGAAAGTGTAGGAACTAGAACATCAAAAAAAGGTATAGGGATCTATAACAAAATTCAAGTAAAGTATAGGAACTAAAAGTTATGTTTTCCCAATAAATTATATGTGAATGTGAGCGAGCTCAGTAGGGCTGTGCAAAAGTCCTCCGGTCTGGTCCAATCCAATTTGACTTGAGATGGTCCTGTCCTATCTAGTCCTTCAAGACAAAAATACTGAAAAAACTAAACTATTTTTTTGGGTTGGACTAGATAGGAGATTGGGCCTCTAGACCACTTGGTTCAATCCGATCCTATTAATTTATTTAATATAATTATAATTAATTTATTTTTGATAAATGCTTCAAATGTAATTAACGCTTAGGAGATGATTGTTCGAAAATTTGTTAAGTTTGTTTTTAAATTATTATTGTAATATAGTGTTGTTGAAGTTTGTTGAGTGTTGTTTGTATTGAAGTTAACAAATTTAAATTATTTGGACTATAACTGAAATATTTTTTTGTTATTGAAAATTATTATGAATTTATTATGATTATAATTGTTTTTATTGTCTTAATTGAGTTTATTAGATGAAAATGGATTATTGCCTCTCATAAAAGAAAAAGGAAAAAAAACAGTTGAGTGAATATTGAACTAACAGATCAGTCTTCTAATCTTATGAACCAAATTCAATTCTGTTAATTTTTGGCTTATCACTAGATAAAATAAACTGAGTTACATAACTTAGTTAATTTTATAAAAGAGACCAAACTTTAAGTTAGATCAAAATTTAATATCGTCCAATTTTTTGTGCAGCTCTAAAGCTATGGGAGACGCTGATCTATTTCTGCTATTTTACCCCCATAAAAATACAATGTTGATGCCTTTCTGTTGAGGATACATTTTTTTAATATTTAATTAATACTCTTTTTTGATACATATTTAATTAATACCCTACACCCAAAAGTAATTCTGAGTTAAAAAAGAAGTATCCAACCCGCTAATTTCACTTACGTTGCTTTTAGATCTTTTCTAATTATAACTGCAATTGGGCCTCAACTAACCAATGCTACTGGGCCACATCCATGTTTTATCAGTATCACGAACGGTCCACCGGCACAGGGCTTCCCGTTATTATTATCATTATTTTTATCAAACATACTGCATAACTATTTTTTTTGGCCAAACATACTGCATTACTTAAAACAACAACGAAACAAAGAAAGTTTCATTTTTTAAAAAAAGAAAGAAAGAACAAAGAAAGTTGAAGCAGCAGCTAAAACAGGAAAGAAACCCACAAATAAACATTAAAAAAAAAAAATCAATCAACGCCAATACTGATATCTGGAGCTGAAGAAGCAGGATAAGGGTTGAAGGCTTCCTTTCCTTGCAACAGAGGCTAGAATAGAAAACAAAGAAAGTGATGGTTTACCAAACTAAAAGTTTCCCAAATAAAAAGTGTAGGTTAGAACAGAAATTTAAAGTTTCCCAAAAATACAGATGGTCTATAGATTTAGTACCAATTCTTAAAACCCCGTTGATAATTAATGATGGATCAAGGAGCTTGTGGAACTTGAATAAAATGGGTCGTGACAGAGAAAGAAAACTAGTTTCTTGGAAGGCCGGAAGCACAACAATTATTGAATAGCCATATACGAGTTGGATTAATCATAGCCACGTGCTGTTGGTATTTATTGAACAGCAGCAAATTTACAAGCAACCAGACAAGAAACACGACCAGAAGACGAACTACTACTTGATAATCAAGAGTTGACCTACAAATCCCAGCATCAAGAAACACAAATTCAATGGCCAAAATTATAACTTGCAAGCCAAGAGTAGGGCTCTTCATATCCAAGCAGCAAGAGTCATAAAAGTATTTCTTGAGCTCAGTGCTCAACAGCCATGTTCTCTGCTTCTCGCTTCACAGATTCAAAGAGCACAGATGATAGATAACGCTCTCCAAAACTTGGGAACACAGCCTGGACAGGTTTTCAATCAGTGAATTAAGCTGCACAAGGGCAAAATATCTGGGACACTAAAGGATGGATTTTTTTTTTTTCAATGCCAGCTATTATTTGTAGAATAAAGAATAGCACTTTATTTAAAGTCCAGTAGTTGCATACATTTATTGTTGGAATACTGAAAATGAAAATTTCTGTTAAAAAAACCGCTTTTATTGGGGGTTTTTTTTTGGGGGGGGGGATTAAAGTGCTATTCTATCATTGATATGGAAAGTGGATAGAAAACGGATATTTTTCAACCGACACCTTACAGTAATCAAGCAACAGACCTCTAGCCAAAGCCATCAACCGGATTGATAACATCATAACAAGCAAATGACATCTTAATTAGCCAATGCCAGAAGCTCATATTGGAGTCTGCTTTTGCCAAAGGTAATTCTTTGTGCCATGTAAGCATATCAATGTTGCCACTAAAGCAATCACCTATTAACCAACCAAAAACTTACAACAATGAGTTTTCCAGCATTTTCTGGCCTCTTGGCAATCTTCAAGGCAGCGGCAGCGGCAGCACCTGATGATATCCCCACCTGCCAAAAAACAGAACCTTTTTTCTTCATCTCCTTCAAAACACACCAGATGGAAAGATACCTGAAAATTTTATTTGAGATGCAACTTTTTGAAGAACTTACCAACAAGCCTTCTTTCAATGCAAGAAGCTTGGCGGTTTCAATAGCTTCTTCACTTGATATCTACAAAAAGCAGACAAAAATAGGCGATCAGCATATGAGATGTGGCTTGTGCACTAAAGAAATGGGCGAGAAATTCATAGAGATAACAGCAATGGAAAGGCATTATAAACCAGTAAAAGGCCAAAAGTGCCGATTACTACTCTGTAGAATTCATTAATTAAAGAATATCAATTACAGTGAGGTATAAATAACAGTGTCGGTGATACAATTGCTCAAAGAAAGAATGGGACACGTAGCCCTAAATACAACGGATAACCACAAATATCAGAGTATCAGAAGTGGGACTGCACTAAGTCACGGCATCAGATGCAATAGTGGGCTGAGCATTAGATGTAATGGACTGGGCCTTATCATTTGCCCTAATACATTATTCCTTTTTTTAAAAAAAGGAAATGATTAAAGAGGCAAACCAACACATCCAAAATGCCAGGACAACTTATGAAAACACTTGTTTAGCAATATTAGATATGAATCAAATTACTTCACTTCCCCACTCCCAAGGATGAAGTAGGAAGCACAGATCTTTTTTTTAATTGAAGCAAATCTTTATTTGTTCATTCATGAAGGAGGAGGGGGGCTAGGGTGGGGGAGATAATAGAATAGAACTCATACAGTAAGATGTTAATTACAAAAAACATAGTACAACAGTAACAAATTTATGTATCAATTAAAATTAATAAAACCAACCAAAAGTTTAATAGCTCACTTGGATAACTTCGTCCAGCAAACCAACATCCAAAACACCAGGGATGAAGCCAGCACCAATTCCTTGGATCTTATGAGGGCCTTACAAATAAGCAACCATACATTCATCAGAAGAATGAATAATATGCACAATTGTGGGGGGTATGCCGTAAATATCAACACAGCCATAATAAATTATGCAGAAAAATAGAAGGTAAACTATGCTACATCAAATACTCTATTGGGAGGAAGCAGAGAGGCACAGAGGAGAAGGCAGATTGAAGTTCATTTTGACCTCCAAACACATTCAGTGATAAGTAACACATCACATTCATGCATTTACATGTTTTTATTATTCATATGCACGCATGGTGCATATATCATTGTACCTTTAAATTTAAAAATCATATTTGCACACATGGTGAAAGAAGAAAATCACCAACACAGTTGCCTTGGTACAAAACCAGTATGAGAATTAAATTAAGAAAATTACCAGCCATACAAAATACATTGACTAAATTACGCTCCATTGACACGATAGACCATTTTGACTGCTTTTTTTTTCGGGGTGGGGGGCGCAACTAAAGTCTCTGAAAACCAGGCGCAGCAGAAATCCCAGAGACAGAAAAAAGAACACCTGGTACCTCAACCAACAGGCTATTTTGGTGCCCCCCAAGGAGCAGTTTGCAACCAAAGTCTTCAAAACCCAGGACTCAACAAGCAATTGTCAAAGCATCTAAATGAATGAAATGATTGGAGAAAGTGATTAGAAAAATCAGGACTCACCAGGCTTCCCACCAGACAGTACAGGACTTTCAACTGGTTCAATGCCATATAGCTAAGTAACATAAAATAGTAGTAAGGAAAAGCAAACAAAAAGAAAAAGCATCTAGAAATTCATATAGCAAAAAAAACAAAATCAAAAACTTGAATTCCCACCTTAATATCAGGGTTCTGCTCTTTCAAATATCTCCCAGCACCTGTTACTGTTCCACCTGTCCCTATCCCAGAAACAAGAGCATCGACTTTCCCCCCAGAGCCCTTCCAAATCTCTGGTCCAGTAGTCTCATAATGGATCTAAGAACGTGTATGGGTGTGTGTAACAATTGTATTAGTATTATTTTTTTTTTTTGGGTCAACTTATCCCCCAAGAAAAGCACACTGACAAATTTAATACCTTAGGGTTGGCAGGATTTTCAAATTGCTGAAGCATGTAAGCATTAGGAGTCTTTGCCAGTATTTCTTCTGCCTTCTGAACAGCTCCTTTCATACCCTTGGCTGGATCTGTGAGAACTAATTCAGCTCCAAAAGCTCGAAGAATTGTTCTTCTTTCTAGACTCATTGAAGAAGGCATGGTTATAATAAGTTTATAACCCTTAGCTGCAGCCATGAATGCCAGACCTATGCCAGTGTTCCCGCTGGTTGGCTCAATCAGGACACTCTACAACATAAAAAACATTAAATTTCATGATTTCATCAATAATTTTCTTCACCTTAATGGCTAAAATATACAAAATTCCCATGCAATTATCACAAAGTAACAAACTTGTCAATAATCAATTCCATTTTATGAATGGATCCGTGTTGTTTGACTTAATTTGCAGTTCACAGAGAGAGAGAGAGGCTTCCAGCAGGTTTTTTTTTTTTTAAGTTGATTAGTAAATTGCATTCACTTTTAAAATTCAAAAACAATGCAATATCAATGTCAGCGAGAACCAAACAACATTTATACAAGCAGAATAGTTTCATTGCTGAGAAAGAAGAAAGGAAGCTCCAGAACATATGATGCAAGACACAACAGGATGCAAAGCATGAATTCCAGATAAGGACAAAAACTAACCTCACCCGGTGTAATGAGTCCTTTCTCTTCAGCATCTGCAATCATGCTATATCCTATCCTGCAGCAAAGGAAAGAAATGTATCCTAATAACAGAAACTTTCAGGAAACCTTTTATTGCATGAAATAGATTAAAGCCTTAGCCAACCATGCTGCAACATCTATTCCAAAATTATAGGCTGCATGATGTCAAGTGAATAGATCTCCAGCCAAACTATCAACTTAAGCATAATAAGATTGGCATGAACAAAAGCCATTTTTAAGTACGTAGTAATCAATGGAAAAATTGTAAGATGGCATTTTACTAGTGATAGATCACTGGAGACCTATATACCTGTCTTTGACACTGGAGCAGGGTTCCATCATTTCCAGCTTTGCAGCAATTTGAGCAACACATCCATCTACGATATGGTTGAGATATACCAACGGAGTTTTTCCAATCAACTGTAAATCTCAAAAATGAGTTTATATGCACTGAAAGCTATAATAATTCAGTATGTGGGCAGGGAAAAGAAAAGTGGGGTCACGGCTGAATGACTTACTTCAGTGACGTCTTTTGCGATGGTTGGCTTCTCTTGCGCCATTTTTAGGAAAATACTGCAAAACCGTAAAAGAGAAGGAGATCCCAGTAAACAAGTAGTTATAAGATCTAGAAAATAAAGCAAACAGGACTTGGATCGTCTGAATTTATTTATTATTTGAGGAAGAAAGCAATACCGAAACTCCCCTTAATATCTTTCATTCATCAATTAAGAAAAAAGATCGTGACAGCATACAGTAAAAGGTGGGGGAGCTGAAAAATCACAAGTGTTCAACTAATAAATTGACCCCACAAACACATCGCAGTTACAGCCTTAAAAATACATGAATGAATAAATTACAATTTACAAGCAAAAAGAAGCGAAATTCCAGTTCCAGACTTCCAGTATCTTGAATCAATCTAAATTTAATTGGCGGGAAAATTATATAGCGAAAATTCAAAAGAAAAACGAAAAATAAAGCAATAGAAGTTAACCCTAAATTTAACACAAAGAATCGAAAGGGCAAAGCATTACATATCGATGAATCTATCCTCGGAAAATAGATAAGCTTTCATTCCGAAAGGCCGCAGTAATATGCGTGTGTGTGTGTGTGTGCGCGCCAGTGATTAAGAAGAATCATGGAATAAAAAATTAACCCATCGAAAGGAAATATATCAGCCAATAAGCAAGATTCTGAAGCTATACGCCCAAAGAGCTGGATGAAAAATAGAACAAGAAATACAGCGCAGCAATTTTTTTCCAAAAGAGAATACAGGTTAAGGAAAGCAGCTCGAAGAAAATAAAGCAGGGAAATGGAATTGGAGAAGTTAAATAGCTCACCAGCAGAATCTAATCCAGAAATGGGTCTCAGAGAGAGGAGAGAAGCTTGAAAACTGGACTTGCACTCTTGCAGACGCAGCGGACGAGAAACTCCAGGAAAGTCTCCGGTCCCTGCTCTAGGAAAAATGGTAGTATTTGGAGACGATCCAGACCTTTTAAGGCAATAATTACTACTTATCTTTCACTTTATTAGAAGAATTTAGAAAAAATCTCAAAATCATATGAAATCTCCCAAATTAGATACCTGCTGTTTCAAAATATTATAATTTTATAAAAATTTTAAAAAAATTATATTAATAAATTTTAAAATATAAAAATTATTTATTTTTATTAAAAATATTAAGTCTCAATCATAATTTTTATTTAAAAAAAATAATAATTTTTTGTGGGTTATAAAAATTGAATAAAAAATTAAAATTTATTAAATGTAATTTATGTTATTGAAAAAAATCAAATCATTATTTTTATTTAAAAAATAATAACTTTATTTTGTGAATAATAAGAATTGAATAATAAATTATAATTTATTAAGTATAATTTCTACTATTAAAAAATAATTTAAAAATAACAAGTCACAATCATAATTTATATTTAAGGAATGACAACTTATATTTAAATAATCACAAAAATTAAATAATAAATCATAATTTGTTAATAAAGTTAAAATAATTTTTGTACTTTAAAATTTATTAATATAAAAGTTTTTAAAAACTTTAATAAAATTGTGATATTTTAAAAAATTATATTATTATTTATAAAATTTAAAGAGATTTTATTTTATGTTCTTGAGGATTTATTACTTATCAATAGATCGACTAAGATAGAACGAGGTATAAGGGTTATTGTTCGTATTAAGTGTCGAAAGTTTAATTCTCAATTGTTATCCATAGAAATTAGCTATTGTGATAAATACAGTAGAAAATAAAGGCACGGTCGTACAGACAAGCCATGATAATTAAACACACAAGGGGGGTCAAACCTTTTCAATGAAAATTTATATTTATAAAAATTTCTTAAAAAATCATAAAAGATTTCCCATTGGCTGCTATTACTATTAGAGGCGGAAAGAGGCAAATAGGGATCAGACCTTGAAACCTCAAATACATCGCTGATTAATATAAACTCCTTATCAACGTGCATCCTTGCTAGAGTATTAAACAAGGCAGAGCTGAAAACAAAAAATATATATATAAAAACATAATTGATTCTTTGATTGTTTACATCCACCTATACTATTCATAGATCATAAATAATATGCTGGTGCGAGCATAGAAGATCGTGAATAATAGAATTTCACTTTAAGTACGATCTAATCTAGAAGATTAAAAAACAATGGCTGAGCGACATAAAACTGGGGGCATATGCACCCTTTTATTTAACAAAAATCACAAATGATGAGTATGAGTTTTTTAATGATGCAGGTTTCTTCTTTATATTTTGCGACTGTTTTTTAAATGTTTTGAAGATTGAACTTATTTTTAACATTAAAAAAATTAAATTTGTTAACTTGCTCAGTAATATATTAAATACTTTTTTATTAGTATGTTGTTATTTTTAAAACTAATAAATTTTAAATGACCGGTCCCTTAATTCTGGATAACTGTTAAAAAACGTATAAATATATCCTATTAATGAAAAATGTAATTATTGTTCCCTCTACTTTTGTTGTGTTTTATTATTGGTTGTTGTATTTTTTTTTTTTATATTCAGATCCATCTCATTTTTCTTTCCTATAATGTTAGTCCATCTACTTTTAAATATGGGATTAATGAGTGAATATGATTCTAAACTTTTGCTCAAAAATCACTTTGAATTCTTAAAATATACAAAATAAATTTTAAAATTTTAAATTAATAGCAAAATAAACTCTAATTATTAACTTTTTTTAATACCGTTACTATTCATGTGGGTATTGTAAAAGTTAGGGTTAAATTTGTAGAAAATAAATCCTAAATGATACCCGCATGGATAGTAACAATGTTAAAAAGTTAGCGATCATAGTTTATTTGCTATAAATTTTCAAAGTTTATGATTTATTTTACATATTTTAAGAAATTAGGGTCCAGCATAATTTTTAAGTAATAATTTAAGATTTTATTTGCTCATTAACCCTTTAAATATGCCTAAAGGAATGATGATATCACATTGATAATAGTATTAAATTAGTTGATGTGTAGCTTACAACATTAATAGGGATGTTAACATATTTAAAACACAATCTGAATTAGTAGCGAGTAAAAGAAGGGACAATTGTTTTTTTTGGAAAATATTGTCCTGGCAACAATACTGAATTATTGTAAGTCAAGCCTTTTACCTTATATATCAAATATCCTGGTTTAAAATTGTGCTGCGTCATCAATTCTCATGACACATTAAAAATAGAAGGATTAATTAACATTGCAAGTGGAAAAAAAGACTACCGGAACTTGAAACATTTAAAAAAGTACATGGACTAGAAACAAATACAATAAAATTATAAACACTAATGATTATGTTTCTCCTCTTATTAACGAACTGTAAAAATATAAGTAAAAATAGATCATTTAATTTGTTTAGTATTAATAGCTAATGATCAGTAAAAATACGTTTTCCCTCATATTACCTCGCTAAGAAAGGATTTGGTGTAGACCTCGTTTGCAGCTGGTTTTTGACTCCATGAATGCTCTTGTTATAATTATTGATTTTGACGGGGCTAAAAGGCTTGCATTAGGAGTAATTAGGCAGCCTGGCCACCTCACTTTCATAAAAAATAAAAATAAAAATAAAAAGGCTAATGATCAGCACAATACATAAAACTGAAGAACCAAAATTAAAAAGTATTTATATATTTTATTTATAAATACTTTTAACATATTTTATTGAAATTAAAAAAATTTAAAATTCATTAATTATATCTAAAAACTTAATAAACTATCAATTTTTTTCTTATTAAATATACATAATTATAATATTTTTTTAACATTTAATGGAGTATAAAATAAAAATTTTGTGATAATATTAATAATATAATTTATGAATATGATCAAAAATAATTTCTCTCTATTTTAAAATAAAATAAGAGGAAGTAAATGGGATGTTGAAGCCATGTTATTTTTTCACCGTGGCTTTCACAAAAACTTGAATTGCTTTCGTAATATTTTTTTTGTTTAAAAATACAAAATATTTTAATTAAATCTCATCCTTAATAAGTAGTTACTTATTTTTAAATTAACCATATATTTTTATATTTATTTCTATTAAACACCCTATAATAAATATAAAGTCATTATCAATAGAGGTACCGTTAAGAAAAATACAATAATTATACTTTAAAAGATAAAAAATTTTAATATATAATTCTCTAAAAATATTTTATATTTTTAAACTGAAAAAGTACATGATTTTTTTTTTTTTAAATATCAGTGACACAAGGTTTTTAAACATGCAGTAATATCGTCTTTGGCGATGCTGGCGCGGAACACATGGCCCCACTTCAAAAACCATGCTCCGGGCAGGTCAACCCTTTGCTTGCTTCTCCGTTTCGGCCTTTCAGATGGAACTTGCGTATTTTTAATTCGTAGCCACAAATTGCCAGCAAAGGTTTTTTTTTTTGGCCAAACAAAAGTTTATTATTAAAACATGGAGAAAGTTAGTTCTTTACATCACGATAAATCAAAACTCGAAATTTCATTAAATGAGGTGCCTTCAACATAATTATTCTTAATAAAAGGATGTTTTTTATGCAATAAAAAAAGAACATGCCCAGAAAAAAAAATAGTTATGACCTTCATGATGTAAAAAAAAATATTACGGCTGTTTCGTCATTGTCAAGCCTGCAATTTATTCTGAGCGCTGCACGAATTTCAATTCCACGACTAACTTGCGTAGTTATAATGAAATTTCAAGAGTATGTAAATAAGTAGACTTATATATCATGACCAAAAAAAAAAACACAGACTCAGATATCATTTAATTATTATTTATTTTTTTTATGATTAGATTTCATCCAATTCTATCAAAAACTCTTCCAACAAATTAAATGTGGTCTAAAGCATTAGCACTAAGGTTTCTAACTTTCCATGAGAAAATTAAATATCACAAACGACAGAATCATTGCACCATTCATGAATCAAACCTGTCAAATTTTTTTTTTTTTTAACCTCAACGGGCTAACTATGCCTTTCATAACCAGACTTGTCAAAAAAATAAATTTTTTTATTGATGAGATTTTTTGTACCATAAAATATTCTTTGTATTTTATATTTTGCGGTAACTTTTTAACATGTAAGATACGCTGCTCATCATTTCGTCTAAACTTTTATTAAAAAACCACTTTAATTATTTAGATAAAATAAATGCTATTATCTTCATTAAAAAATATAAGACATTTTTTAAACATGTTTGATAATGTAAAATTATTTTTAATCTTTTAAGATATAATTATTATTTTTTTAATAAAAATGTCCCTATTCAATAAAATATTTTATATTTATTTTATGATTAAATACTCTATTTATTAAATAGGGATATAGGATTAATGTGAAAATAAATAATTATTTTATTAAAAATATTTTATATTTTTTTATAGAAGGGAGTACTAAAAAGCCGCGTTAACTGGCAGTTCGTCCTTTTAGTTAGCGCTATTAACCCACTCCACGGGTGAAAAATGGGTCCCATGCAAAAGTCAAGCCGTCCCACGTTTTAGGAATAATCCGCGTGCGGCATCACATCCAAATCAGAAGAAGGGGATCAAATCGATAGTTTTTAAATGGCCAATTAATATTTCTCTCTCCAGGGTGACGTGGAGAAGATAATAAAGCACTTTTTTTTAAAGAATATAATCTGTCTATTATCTTTTTAAATGTTTCAATCCGATTAAAGTATACAGAGAGGTATTAACAAAATAAAATAGAGTACGAAATCAAATAAAGATGTCATGCCGTACGCCATCCACTCTATTTTTTTTCCTTTAAAAAAAATAGAGGTATCAATGTTCAATGTCAAAATTTAGAGGTTTAATGTAAATTATCACCTTGCGTATAATTAGAGTTCGCCCCAGACTTTCATATTAAATTTCAAAATCGTTTGTAATCTTTTCACTTGCGAGAGTATATGAAATTTTCATATACCCTCCTTCTTATCAAGTGCTATTTCCGCCATGTTGTTGTTTTTCCTAAGTT